ACACTTTGTATGACATATATTATATTACTTTTAAAAACAAAAACCAAAAAACTGAAATCTACAGTGCGTGACACAGATTGAGTCCTAAATTGACGGTTTTGATTTCAAGTTAATAATACTACCTATTCATTCTTAGGTGTCGTTTGGTTCATATGGGAATTAGAACTTCCCATGAATTGCAAATTTATGAAAATTAAATTCCTATTATCAAATTCATGGGAATTTTCTTAAATTGTTTGGTTAACAATGAGGGAAGTAACTTCCCATGCATGGGAATTTCTACTTACCTAGGGGGGTTAGGAAAGTAAGTTCCTACATTTTGTGAGGACTTAAAATTCCTAGGAAGTTCCACTTCCCCCATTTCACCAAATTTTTGTCAACCAAACAACACAAAACTTGCAATTCCTAGAAAGTTTCACTTCCCATGTTTTTTTATGTCAAACAAACAGGTCAATCAATAAAATGTCAGATAAATATAAATAATACTTCCTCTTTTTTTTTTTTTTTTTTTTACTTGCAACATATTTACTGTGTATACTATTCACATACTCCATTTCAATTACATTGTAATTATATTTATAGAAAAATATAGTCATAGGGCCAAGATCTTAGCTTGAATGTGTAATTTTTTTTTTTTTATAAATGAATAAGATATTAATAGTTAAAGTAATGTATTGACAAATGTGAAAAACATAAATGTTGTAAACAAATTAAATAAATAAATAAAACAGTGAAAGTAAATCCAAGAAAACATGAAGAAAAGGATTATGGTATGATATTATTGTTAGGATAATGTAAAATGGAGCAAGGGCAAAAAAAACAAGAACGTTTAGCTTAAGATATATAAGAAGAGCTTTGATAATTATCTTAGCTAGGTCTAACATGCTTGAAAATGAGTGATCCAAGGGAAGTTCACATGAAGATGTAATTGACTATATGTATAAGTTTGAACACTACAAATAATATGGTGAGGTGTTAAGTTAAGGATCCAATATTTTGACAATAAAAATGTTAATGCAAAACGACCAAATAATAAGGGAACAAGTGGGCACCAACTCTAGCTAGTTCAGGACCCAACGGTTCGTTAATGCCTAGGTCGGTCGACCAGATTCATGATATAAAATATAGTATTGTCAACTTACTCACAAAACATATTATAAAATTATAATTTGATGGATTTTATTATTATTAAAAGTGTAGTAAAATTACAAATACTTCATATATTAGAAAGATCCTAATTAATATGATTGTTTATGAAGCAGGGTTGAATTTAATTAATGACGCTTTCAAATTAAAGTAGACAGAACTGGATACAATTTGAGGATAATGAGCTTATACATATGACTAATTAGGAGCATAAAAATCAATTAAAAGTAAACATTATTGTACTTTTGCTATTGAATATACCTATATATAGTTGCATAATAATGTGATCGAAGTATAATTGATACAATAATAACCTGATATCCTACTTTAAGTGGAAGGCTAAGCCTATTAATTAGTGATATTAAAGTATTAGTTGGTATTACATACATTTCTAATTAAGAATTGGAATCTTGTATTAAATTAATTAATTAATCTTACAAATTCCTACATTTTAATGTCAGAAAAGACATGCCTTTCATCTAAAAAGTGTGGCCGTGAAAAGATGCAAATCATGTGGATTATGTCCCAATAATGTGATGACTGAGGGAGTTATAAACTTTGACCACCAAATCTCAACCGGTATGTCAGATGCCACGAGAAGGTCATCAAATTAAACTACTTGTATTAATTAATCAAATACGTACTATTAGTATAAATGTATAATTATATATACATACTCTATTGTATATGTGTAATAATGAAGGAATATAATTTTAAGTGCTATGTATGAAAACTAAAATTAGAAATACCTAGCTACAATTACTCCGTAATAATAAGCATTAATAATGTTAGTAGATACCTAATAATTTGGTCATTAATGATAAATCTAATACGGAGTACCATACTATCTCATTTCTTTTTGTTATTCTTATTTGGAATCATTTTATGAGACAAAAAATAAAAGTCAATCACTCTTATTGTAAGATCAGAACAACAAAGTAGAACTAATTAAAAAAGCAAAATTATTTGCGAGTTATATGTATTTAATGCTTATAGACTTGTGTAGTGTAAATATTTTAAGGTTATGTAGCAAAACCAATCAATAAAAATGCTACGTACTCGTAGAAGACTAGTATTACAGAATTACTTCGTACTTTGTTGGATTGGTTGATTAATCCAAGTATAACAAAGAGAAATGACGAAGAAACCAACAAAATGGAAGTACATATAAACACGGACGCTTTAACTAGACATACAGTAACAGTAATCTGACTACTAATGAACATGGGAAGAGCATTTTAGGTCGAATTCCGCGCGCACGTGCAAACATGTGTTACTGTGGTGAAATCCCCCATGCAACAGCATATGCACACGTGCCCACATGTGTGTGTGAGTGCGTGTTTAAACTTGTGAGTGAAATTTGTAGAGGTAGAATTGGTTCGTCACTTGCAAATTAAACCATTACTTCACCATGCATGTGAATCGATCTAGCATACGAAATATAACCCCCTTATATATTGGAGCATATATTATAAAGTTTTCATATGCTTTATTTATTCTTTTACAGTTGTCTAGATGACACATTTTCATCACGTTGGTCATTGCTAATTTTCAATTGTTAATATTTCTAATAATCAGTAAAAAAAAAAAAGTTAGCTATTTTTGAAAAAAGAATCAAAACAATGTATCTTACACAATGAACCATACATTTTATATGTATATGTTAAGCATACATGAAAGATATGGCAAAAGTAGTGTATGTAAACAATGCCAAAAGTCAGAATATGTTGAAAATAACGGAGTAAGTATATAATTCACCAATACGTAGGTTTTGGACCACCTCGTTTATAAGTATACTATAAGTTTGGAGCTATCTTTCCAATGCATTATTATTATTGATATTGTATCTTTTGATAATACAAGTATAAGTTTACTAATACATGTATGGATGATGGATTGGACCACGTATATTATGAAGTACAGATATACTACATGCTAGTTTTTATGGGTGACCTTGATCTTTCGAGAAAATGTTGCATGGTTTGAAATTTGGATCTTTCAAGGCATGAGTACTAATATAGCTGTACCGCTGTACGTAATAAACTGATTGTATCATTGAAACTTACACATCAGTGCAACTGTGCAACAACCTAGCTAGATTGATAGATCGGACCCTTATCACTACTTGATCCCTTCCATGCATGCATGTATATGTATATATCCACATTAATGCTCAACTAGTAGTTACCTTGGAAGCATTCCACCCATCATCACGCGTCAATTATTTCTTAACAGTTAAAAAAAATTACCCATATATATAGTGATTATATATATATATATATATATATAGTAATTCATCATACATATTAGTTTGGAATTCACAATAAAATAATGCATCATATCAAACGGTGGTTCTATTAATACTGAATATTTGCACTTATATAGTAGTATTTTATGAATTGCTAACAAATTTGGGTGAAAGAGATGATAGAATATATATTTCCCAATAATATTGATTATCTCATATCTTTAACAATTGCAAATAACATTTCTTTAGTAACATCTAGTATTAATCTTCTTATATACGATTATACGAGTAATTAATAATGATGAAGTGATGAATAGGTGGCCTAGCTAGCTGAGCTGGTAGGATTTCCAACTTATATTTTAATTTGCTATAAGCATAAATATAAGGATAGTTGTAAAATAAAATATAATGCATACAAATGAAATTATGTAACCGTGTGATGCCAACCCTTGAGATTTCGGATTGCATTGCAAACATGCAAGTTATGCATGGACCACAAAAGAGCTCAAAAACCCGTTTTCATGCAATGGGGACATATAACATTATATGAATATGAATATCGATCGAGTCTATCCTATAAGCTTATTCATAGATATAAGGAGAAGAGTTTGGACCATTTAGAAGGTAGTAAGATTTCAGCTAAGTATTAATGGACAGTGAGATGAGCAACTTCGATCCGTAGATATTAAACTAATAATATAAGGTGGTTGTTTTCAATTCTAGCTCTAACTCAGCTAGCTCTTTCTTATTCAACAAATGCAAGACAGCTCATAAGCATGGCACAACACAATGAATTGAAGTTCAACATAAGCCAGAACTTAATAATCAGTATTTTAGGGTAGCAAGATGAATTTTAACCTACAAAAAATGAATCGAGTCTTAACACACACACACACGCATCCGGCGCGCGGGGTGTATACAATGCATTAATATGTATGTAGTATGTTTTGAGACAAGATTGAGATCAAGTGGGGCATCACAGATACAAGCTAAGGAATCAAGGAAGATGAGGACAATGATCGATGATGATCCTTCTATATGCTAGCTATACGTGTCTAATGCTTTGAATATGAAAATTAAGTGTAGACTTTTCAATATCAATCATCCATGCAAGCTATGCCAACCATCTTGTGGTCGTAATTCTTTGTTTAACATGGTCTAAGCCGACTTTGAACTAATTCAAAATCAAATTTACACATTATTATAATATATATATATATATATATATATATATATACATAGTACATATATACATGTCGTAGCCTCATTAGCATATCCCAACATTATTTTTTTTTCCTACCTTAACACGAGTCAATTAGAGAGTTGGAGATCAAACGACATCTCATTGATTTTGCCATCTCTACAAGAATATGATATCATATATCTAAAATAAACCTAATTAGTTGGTTTGGTAACCAATTACACCATCCTAAATCCCACAATTAGTGAAAAAAATTGATCGTACGGAACATAAATAAGCTAGCCCCCTTAAAAGCGACCACGTACACCCACAACAATGACACAAGATGATGGGCAAATTGTCTTTTTCTTTTTTTCTTATTTTTCATAAAAATTGCTACAAATAATTTTTTTATTTTTATTTTTTTAAAAAAAAAGAAGAAAAAAGTTGGCTAGTATACTACTACTGGTCACGGGGTTAGAGTATGATAACATAGGTGTCCAAATACGGAGATAGAAAAGATGGACGTGTACCCCGTTTTTCTTATGAGCGTACACTCTGCCGAGCTGTCTACCATGTGCACGCACCCTTCCTTCTCTTTCTCTCTCTTCTCTTTTTTTTTTGTTTTTAAATCTTCCCTTGTATTATCCTCCCTTCATTCCCAACTGGCACTTCATTCTTCTCCATTTCATTTCTTCTATAAATCTCCCCCTTCTTATCATACTTTATTATTACAAAGTCGTGACATATCCCAAACCAAACCAAACAGTAAAAATATATACTCGTACTCGATAACGAACGAGTAGTAGTAGTAAAATGATGAATAATGTAGTTTTAACAGCGGCCTCTTCATCAGAGTGTAGTAGTGGGTGTGAGTCTGGTTGGACTCTATATTTGGAACATTCTAGCGGTAGCTTTTCTACTGGTAGTAAATATAATGATCGTCTACATTGTAATAATAATAAACACCAAAAAGTGGCACCTACTTTTCATCAAGGTAAAAAAAGTGCTAGTCTTTTTTATGATGATGATGAAGATGAAGATTTATCGATGGTTTCTGATGCATCTTCTGGTCCTCCACATTTTGATCATGAAGATGATGAAGATGAGGTTTTTTGTTATAGTAACAGAAAAAAACAAAGTGTCAAATTATCAACTCTACATCAACAACAACAACAATATTTTAAGGCTCAAGATTTTGGCCTTGATGATACCGCTAGCTCCCCTCTTTTCACCTCCAAGGTAATATCTCATTACCTCTTCGGTTCTGTACAGATTTAGTTGTCACATTATTTCTAAATGAGGATATTCTGCCTATATCATGGACCGACATTATATTGCATTGTGCTTGGAAATGTGATCTTTATACTAGTTTATTATTTTGCAGAAAAATAATAATGGTAGGGAAGATAAGGGTACATCATTAAAAAGGATGGTAGACTACTCTTCACAAGGTTTTTCTGCTACTCATTTTCATCAGGTATTTTTATTTGATTTTATATTTTTTTATCAACATTATTTAGTTTATTTTAATACGATCATTAATATTAATTAGCATTTTCGATTTCTTTTTACAGGAGAGATCTACTAATTTCCAGGAACACTATGGTTTTATTCAGCCCCCTTTCTCAACAAACCAATTTCAACATAACCAGTTAAGTCTCCATACACTTTCTTACATGAATCCTGTACGCATTTTTTAAAAAAAATTTATTGAAGGAATTCCTTGCTAATTAGACTGATTACTACTCTCCATTACAGAGTATTAAATACACAAATTAACCGTAAAAAATTATTTACTATGTTTCAAAATAGTTATTTTGATTTACTAAAATGATACGAGTCTAAATTATTAATTATTACACACCATATTATAATTGTAATTTTTGTTAAACAATTACTTCATATTGTACCTATGAAGTATTAATTGTTGATTAAATGGTCAAATAATATAAAATAATTAAAAAATTAAGTTACTATATTTACAACCTACTTCGTATAAAATACAGAGTAATTAGTAAAAAAAATCAAACACTATACTCAAAAAGTGCTAGTATTTTAATTTGTTGATTATGAATAAATTTACTGATAATATGAATTATTTTTTACAGGTGGTCCTAGATTGTAGAAAGAGAAGACACGGAATTAAAAGGCTAAAAGGAAGCTAAAGGATTGTACCAAATATAGTTGGTGATCATCAACAAAAATAGCTCAAAAGAAGCAATGAATGAAAAAAGAAGAGAAGGGTTATGTTGTCAAAAAAAGGGTGGGATAAAAGAAGCAGATCTCAAAGGGATCTTTGATTTCTTTTTTCTTTTTTTTTAAAAAATTACTTTTGGCTGTCATTTTAGTGGGAAACAACCTCAATGGTAGTACAATGCAAGTAGAAATTAATACTTGATGTACTCTAGGAATATATGAATTTATTTCAATTGAGGATCAATAGTGACTATAGATGTAACTTAAATATGTTTAGAGTACTTCAACTCGAGTTAATGGCAATGCATGTTTAATCTCATTTACCATGCATATCATAGTATAGTCATGATTTATTTCATCAAGTCTTGGTTCTTCTCTTTCTCGCTGTATGTGTGCAATCATCTACCAACACTTCTCGATGTAAAGGACATACTATTATCAAAATATACATGAATATTATTAATTAATCAATTACATGTTTTTTGATTGACATTTTTTCTCTCATAAAACTCAATCTGATCCTTTTATTATCGATATATGATTGTAGAATCTTTTATACATATACAAGTTTATTATTTGACAGAAATATACATGATTGCTAGTTGTTGTTAGGTAAACACTCCTGGTTTATTTGACTTTAAAACTTGTAATATTAATCATATCTATAAATATATAATCTCATTTATGAAAATGATTGAGTTAAAAAGAACAATATATTCCTTTTGTTGCTGCATTACAAAACCCATTGAAATTATATATAATAACATAACACTATTATCTCCAAAGAAGTGTAGTCTTGTAGAGTTGGAATTAAGGAGAGACAAATGTGAGAAAAATGACGATTTGTTACCAAATTACAAGCAGCACAATTTGACTATAGTGTTATTTATATAATTATATTATTGGTGCAGTGAGTATTAGAAAACGACAAGACCCTGTGTCTCCAACTGTCCGGACAATACTCATCTTGATTTACTGATAATTCAATATTCCTCCCTTAAAAAAGATAAAAGAAGCTCACACTATGTAGGGCATCCTTTTTCTTTTTCTTTTTTCGGCTGAGTAATTTTATTAAAGGATGCTTCCTCTCATAAGAAGCTGTTCAACCCCTTTTTTCCTATAAACCCACCACCTCTTGCATGCCACACATTGCCTATAATGCAAACCCAACAATCAACATGCAGATCCTATTGTTATATGATCATATTCTAAATAAAGATAATATTTTATTGACTTTGTAATTAGGACTTAGTCTAACCCAAACTATGATTAAGATCGACCATATTATCGTATTGACGTTGATTGCACCAACCAGATCGATCAGATGCATTTACCAGTTCTAAACACCAGTTGCATAACCCATACCGTACCGAAACAATTGGCGATAGAATTATGAGATAAGAGGTGTTGTAATTATTCCAATCTACTTTCAATTCTTTTTATTTTACAATTTTTCTCAGAAAAAGTGGGTGTTATAATAAATATTAACTTATTACACTCAATATTGTATACGCCGGGTAAATTCAACTTCATGCTCATGTCAAAAAAATAATAATAATTATTAAATACATGCAATTTCATTGATGGTTGTAACTTAAATAGTCGTCCCATTTCATAAGATGTCACTCTGGTAGCAATTTAAAAATTCCTTATTAATAAGGAAAAAAACTTTTAGATAAAATAAAGACATTTGCCGTTATGTTTTAAAGTTGTTCAATGTATTTTTGAAGTGTTTATATTGTCTTCTTAATATGATTTTATATTATTTAAGTTGTTTATGAAGAAATAGATCTAGACACAACATATACGTAGTATATACGAGTATGTTTTGGGGTTTGATCTGTCTAATATAATTCTTCATGTGTTATATGATTTACATGTAAGATCCATAGAAGTAAATTATATACCCGATTATACGAAAATCTTGCTCTTCTCTAAGCCTTGTCTGTTTTGAAATTGATGCTATGACTAGACACAATAATGTGCACTTTCAGTAGTCTTTTGAATTCTTTATGAATTTGCAAATTCTAAGCCAAATCTTCTTCAGATAAAGCACGCACATTTCCATTTGGAGTTTGTATAATAAGATACTACTATACACACTACTTGCATTGTAAATTAAAAATAAAAAGGAATTTTTGATTAAATATTAAGACATGGGATTTCTGAATTTAGAATGCTTTTTAGCATCCAAAGCTCCACCCACGTGTACCTTAATATTTAAATCTGAATGCTCTAAATATTGGAGTCTTCCATGTGATCAAGGACTATGTTGTTGAACTAAGAAGAATCTAAATTTGAAATTACACCAAAACAAACAAAATCATTTATTTTATTAGATAGGAAGTGGAGAATCGATCGGTTTACATTGTTCATGTAGCTAATATAGTAACGAGCCTATGGCCTAACACTGTTCCACGTTTTTGATCTCGAGCTCGATGCTACTCGTCATGCATCTGTCCTTTTGTAAAATCTCTAAAATAAGAACGGATTTATACTTTTACCTTTTAAACAATATAGTCATCACATTATATTAATACTTTTATATAGTACGTATGATAACATATATATCATATTGTACGTCTTCTCAAAGATGAGTGTTGGTATATTAAATTACATGTACCAATCTATAAAGTTCAACCATACAAGTAATCACTCAAATAAATCCGGTGAGTACGAACGAATAATAATGAACGTGTTGAATCTTATTAATGAGATGAAACACGCGACGTACCCATAGACACGAACACACAAGAAATGAAAATGTAGGACGGAATTGAATGAAGGAAAAAAGTAGGCATAGAGGGAACTAGTTTCCATCAAGATAGGTAGATAAGAAGCGTAAAAGTATGGGAATAACAGGATTTGTCTTACCAATCACACACCAAAACGGAGCCTTTAATTTACTGCAGTTTTTCATGAACCAAGCAAGCTATAGGAATGGGTTCTCTACTTGTTTCTGATTTGCATGTCTCCCATCATTTCTGATTTTTTGCCTCCATAACACCATATAATATCCTGTTTTTTTTTTTTTTTTTTTTTTTTTTTTTTTTTTTTTTTTTTTTTTTTTTTTTTACAAAATTACTAAATAAATAAATATACATAAAAATTCTCTTATTTTTGGTTTAGTTTGTTCACATTTTGTGTCCCCAGCTCTCGTGACATAAGTTTACCAACATCAGAAACAAATATTATTTGATGAGCCATGCATCATTTTTTAATATATTATTATTGGATGCAAATTAATTAAAAACTCCTTTTCCTTTTTTTTTTTTAATTTCTTAAATTTTACCAGTATATTTAAAATTTAATGGCAGAGTTTACTGAAGAGCATAGTATCTCAATTCATAATTCTAGTAACAGTGATGCATGTGGTAGAGGACCTGCAAGCATGCTCTTACTGAAAGAGTGTACTGTGAACAGGCACAGGCACCTGCATGAATATGGCCCAACTTCAAATTTATTAACATTTCCTCCAGTAGATGTATATGAATGTATATGTATATGAAAATCATGAACTTGCATTGTTATTTCATTATTTACCATTTATTAGGCCATCAATACTTGCTGCATTATATTGAAATTTATACTAGTATATTTCTATTCTGCCATCAAGATACATATGAAAGTCGAAGTACTTTTATTAAAATCAATTATTGTATGCCATGTTGATATATATATAAAACAAACTTGTAATGTGATAACTAAATAAATCTAGACAAAAGCAATATACTAGTATATTCATTCTAGATTATACATGTTAGGCATTGGCTTTAATTAAGATGCATAACACGCTCGTTTGCTTTGAAAAGTTGAAAAGACTTTATGAACTAAAGCCTAAATGGTCAACACAGTCCGATTGTAGGCCAAGCTTGAAGGTCACAAGGTAGGACCTTAATAGCTAGATGGAAAAAAAATTACTTTATCAATGTGTATAAATGTATTCCATCATATACAAGTTGATACGACATATTACTCCCTCTGTTTATTTTAAGTGCCTTTCATTGGAGATTTTGATACTATTCACTAAACATACTTTGACCAATGTTTGTAAATCATATATATATAAAAAATATAGTCTTGTAGGTACTTGTTAGAATCGTTTCAATGAGTAGATAATTAATATTCAATTGTTATAATTTATAGTTAATGATAATTAAAGATATTATTTATCAAAATTTTGCATCAGCATGCGTGTTATTTCCTCTGTTTTTTTTTTACTTGACCTATTTCTTTTATCATGCGACGATAGAGTGAAAGCTGATTAATTAGTAAAAAGAGGACAAAAGGAAGTATATAACAACATTTTAATTCAAACCAGGCTAGAAAAATCTAGACTTATTTTGACCGCAATTTGTTTATTTTAAGTGAAGGTAACAAACCCGTGGATATGCGACGATAGAGTGGACATGTGTTACACAATCAAACCCAAATCAGGCCCATTACCCGTCCAAAATGAGAGACACAAAGAACAAATTAATGAAGAAGAAGTGAAGTAATAGGGAGGAAAGAAAGTAGAGAAAGAATGATGCAATTGCAGCAGACGAAACTGGTAGACTCACCTCGAATTATCTCTTTCTTCAGCCGCCCATGGATTAAACCCACCATTGTTGCACTCCGAGCTTTCTCCGACCACTCCAACCAGTCTCGCGGCGGTCTCCCTCGCTTCTTCTCCGAAACCCTTCCTTCTTCCAAGGCACTCTTTCCCTCTCTCTTCAACTTCTTTTTTTCCATTTTTATTTTTCAACTTTTTGGAGCTAATTCACATCAATTCCTTGTTATTGCTGATAATTTGAAAATTTTAGGAATTGTTTATTTCGCTTCAATTTTGACCTAATTGGTACTACATTGTGCAATAAAAATGCTTGATTGTGAAATTAAGTTTAGTGCGTACAGTAGAATTTTAGAAAGTTCTTTGTCAAAAACTCAAAATTTATTCTGTATTTAAGTATATTTTGCCAATTTTAGGGCTAAATTGTTCCAAACATTGGTTAGAACATAGCTTTATGAGTGAGCGAGAGTGCCAGCTCTGAAGGGAAAGGGACTTGTTCCATCCTCAACAGTTTGACCTTATTTTTTTTTATTAATATGATCCATGTTTACAGTTCACCTATTGAAGTGCTGATTCTCCACTCGAGTTTCCAAGAATGCCAATTTATTTGCTAAAACAATGCATCTGCGCTTTTTTGGTGTATATTCTGATGTCAAATCTACATTCTACAGAATGAGGATTGAGATTGGAATTGTTAGCCTTTAATGTGGTGTCACTGCTCTTTGGAACTTCTTAAAGGTCACAAGTAATGTCTATGCTATCATAGTCAAGCAGCACTTTAATTAGTATGTTTGATATTTGAACCCCAATGGATTAATATTCTATTTTCCTTCTTAATTTTGGTATTGCTTCTGTTGGATTGTTGGAATCATGTGTGATTATATCTGACACTTCCCCTTATATTTAGACTATGCTTAATTGTTCTGCTATGTTTCAGGGTGGTGTTGTACGTGTCCAAGGAGATGAATTTTGGCATATGACTAAAGTTCTCAGGCTGAGTGTAAAAGATAGGTAAGTATCTATACTAAATAATCAATATTCATTCTATTTAACAGTGAAACAATGTGTGCAATGTAATTTGAAAATGAAATCTTTTACTTGCATAAAATGTAGAAGCCTACTTCATATATCTTTAGTCTCAATAGTAATTTACTCCGTATTTATCTACTTGGGTGTATTCTTCTCCGTAATCGCTATTTTTGGCTTCTTTTGGTATTCTAAGAAAAAGAACAACGCCTTAGTTACCTATCAGTTTGCTTTCTTAAGGAAATGGAATTGTGAGCTTGATATATCCTTCTACTACCGCTATGAGCCTATGGCTTCTTTTGTGGGGGTTTGATTCTAGGCCCTTGTTATGTGGAATACAAAATTTTCCTCCTTATAGGAATTTTCAGTCATGGAACAAAAATAGAAGGTTGTAAATTAGTTTATTCTCATCTTAGCTTCAGGTGTATATCTGCATAGAAACAGATATTGGCTGAATAAATATCTCTTATAGAATGCTGAAAATATGCTTTAGAGAATGAATGGGGAAGTTTGAGGATTATATGTTTGCATGGACTATGATATATTAATTGGCTATATCTTTATACTCCGGACTGTTGGTCTAATGAGTATGCTTCTGGTGTCTTTTGTGTCTGCTTAAATTTTCCAGTTTGTTGCTTATGGCACTATATGAATATGAGTATGGATGAAAATTAGGAGCACCTATAAGGGGTTGTGTGATAGTATGTATCTTGTAAAATGGCTCAAGCATTATTTATTGAACTAGATAGGTATGCTAAGTAATCTCGTTCATATTGGAAAGACTTCTCTGTCCAATAAATCTATCAATATCTTTTTCAGTTATTCACTTTGGGAGCTCCCAAGGGTCCTGAGGTGCTCATTTTTCGGGGTTTGGGGCATGTTGTTTGTGTTGGTGACAAGGGGCATTATTAATATAAAATATGGTACGGTGGTACTTATTTATTTTTATACATAAAATATACTCCTTCAATCGTCAAATCATTGTTCTCATGGGCTTGGACATGCATGTTAAGAGTAGATGGTAGGAAGGTGTAGGTTTCTCGGTAAATAGGGAGAAAATAAGAATTAAAAAAATAGGTTGATGGAGAAAGATTGTTCAACATACTATACAATTATTTGACAACAAAGGGAGTAATACTTATTTATTTTTACTAAAAAAGGGGTATTTAGGAAAAATATGTGATGAATTTTCATCATTAGTGACTATTTTTGCTAACTATAATATGAGGTTCCATTTGTTATGGATAATTTACCATAAACAAAAAATAGCTTCATTATGACCAATTATAAAAAAAAGCCAACCAAAATCAATAATTGGGGTAATGGCTATTTATCAAACACCAATATAATATAACAACCATGTAATGCATTTATCAACGACATGCTAACAGGGAATGAATAGGCGAGTTTGGATTTGGTGATTAGAACCATCTTTAATAGCTTTTGATTGCAAATTCAATATAGTTGTAATAGTTTTGAAATACCCAAATTACTGGACCAAACTCATACTTAGAACTTTGTAGACCTATTGGAAAACATTTTATGGTTGCAAACCAACTTATATAACTTCGGGGACACCTTTCATATTCACTATAATTTTGAAAAAATTTCCCAAAAAAATAGTGAAAGCATGGACTATAGGCTTCAAATTTGAAAAACTTTGCTGGCTCGAAAAAAAAGGATGAGTCTCTTCCCATGGACCCAAGACAATTTGGGTGGTTGGAACCACCCACTTTGCCTTCACCTTAGCTAATTACGCACACGTCTCCCCTTATTAACAACATTATATGGTCACTACGATCTTTATGTGATCGATTAGTGGTCATGTTTGGTTCCTAACAACATTATGTGACCCTAGGATGTATCCCCTACCATTAGTTAAGGTTTCAATACCGAGTCCCAAATCTTTGAAAATGGCCCGATTTCGTGTATGCTTTCAAATTTGGCCTCCATAGAACATGTTTGGACGCAACAAGGTTATGCACCGAGATGCTTTCCGAGTTCCCAAATGGCCTTAGGAGGTTTAATTGGTGTCTGGATGCAACAAGGTTATGAAGGATTCCCTTTGCCTTAATAGGACTCAGGATGCCAAATTTATGATTGGAATCACCCCTTAGAGCTCTTTCCTACAAATGTTGTAGAGTTTCGAAATACCCACATAATTGAACCAAACTCATTCTTGGGACTTTTTAAACCTATTTGTAGGCCTTTTATGGTTTCAAACCAACTTATATGACCTTGGGCAACACCCAAACATTCTCTTCAATTTTGAAAAAAATTCCCAAAAAATGGTATGAAAACGTGGATTATAACCTTCAATTTTGGACACCTTTTGACTTTTTTGGGTCCGGAAAAAAAAGAGGTCGAGGTGCTTCCCATGGACCGCACGGGACCCCGAGAGGCCATTTGTGTGGTTGGAACCACCTACTTTGCCTTTGAAATGTCACTATAACCAATTTTGTACACACCTCCCTTCATTAACTAAAGGCCACCACGGTCTTTTATGTAACCAACTAGTGGTCTTATTTGGTTCCTTACAACATTATAACCCCAAGACGAATCCTTTACCATCACTCTAAATCTCTTAGAATTGCTTGATTTTATGTATATAGCCTTCAAATTTGGCCTTTAAGGAACATTTTTTTGACATTGTAAACTTGGATACTCTTATGTTGTGATTTTTGTCTCTGATGATGCAGTTTTCCTTTTCCTTGTGAAAGCATGTATAATGAGCTGACATTTGTCTCCTTATTTTAGTAATTTATATTTGAAAAAAAGAAGAAAAAGAGAAAAATAGGAAAAATAAGGGAATTTTGGCAAAAAATAAGTGTGATGATTTTTCATCAATAGTGACTATTCTTTTCAACCATGAGATGAAAAATCTGTCGTTCTGGATACTTTTTTATGAATAAAAAAGCTTCATTATGAAAAATACAACCAAGTAAAATCTACCATTGGGTTAATGATGTTAACAAACACCAGTTCAAAGAAAAAAACTCATGTAATGCATGCATCAGAAATGGCTCAGTGATTGACTAATAAATGTATGTTAGACTTTGGGTTTGATAACAAAATGAAGAATTCCTTTTACCTTAATAGGACCAGAGATGCCAAGTTTGTGATTGGAATCATCCCTTAGAGCTTTTAACAACCAATGTTTAGAATTTCGAAATACCCACATAATTGAACCAAACTCATTCTGGTGACTTTATAGACCTATTGGCAAGCCTTTAATGGTTCTAAACACAATTATATGACCCCGGGAGACAGCCACGCATTCTCTTCAATTTTGGAAAATTTTCCCGAAAAATGGTCGAAAACGTGGATTATTTGCCTTCAATTTTGGACAATTTTTCAATTTTTTGGGTCCGTAAAGGAAAAAGGTCGGGGTGCTTCCCATAGACCCCATGCCATATGGGTGATTAGAACCGCCTACTTTGCCTTTAAAATGTCACTTAAGCCAATTTCCATATACACCTCCCTTCATTAACTAAAGACCACAATTGTCTTTTATGTAAACAACTCGTGGTCATATATTTGGTTCCCAACAACATTATTTGACTTCGGGATGCATCCCTTACAATCAATTAAGTTTTCAACGTCGAGTCCCGAAATCTATGAATATGGCCTTATTTCATGTATTTTGCCTTCAAATTTGGCCTTTAAAATTTTTTTTTTGGATCCAGCAAGGTGATGCATCGAGGTGCTTCTTGGGGTCCTAAATCCCTCAAGAGGCCTAAATGGTGCCCGGATTGATCTCATTCATGCTTTAGCCCACCTTTCATTATTTTCATGTGGAAACTTGTAGATACTCCTATCGTGTGATTTTGGTCTCTACTGTTATGTAATTTTCCTTTGCCTTATGAAAGCGTGTTTGATGAGCTGATAATTGTATCCTTATTTATGTAATTTATTTAATAAAAGGAGGAAATTTGAGAAAATTAGGGAAAAAAATAAGGGAATGTCGGGGTAAATTTGAGATGAAGTTTCAGTTGTTATGGAAACATGGATACTCAATTGTTATGGATACTTTTGACTTTTCTATAAAAAATAGCTTCATTATGAACAACTGTAAACAATCAAGTAAAATCTAAAACGGGAGTATTAGTTTGAGTAATAAACACCGATGTAGTTATAGTATAAAATACGCAATTCATGTAGTGCATGCATCAATTATGTCTTGGTGATCAATTAACGAATGTGTGAGTTTGGGTTTGATAACGTAATGAAGGATTCCCTTTACCTCAATAGGATTCTAAGATTCCAAGTTCGTGATTGGAACCATTCCTTAGTTTTGATATGCCCACATAATTGAACCAAACTCATTCTCGGTACTTTATAGGTGTAGTGATAGGCCTTTTACGGTTCCAAACCAACTTATATGACCCCGGGGGACACCCCCCACATTCACTTCAATTTCAAATTTTTTTCCGAAAATGATCTGAAAACGTGTATTAAGCCTTCAATTTTGGACAATTTTTTACTTTTCTAGGCCTACAAAGAAAAAGGTCAGTGTGTTTCCTATGGACCGAACGAAACCCTTGGAGGCATTTTGAGTGATTAGAACCGCACTCTTTGCCTTAAAAATGTCACTTTAGTCAATTACATATACACCTCCCCTCAATTACTCAAGGCCACCACTAGCCTTTATGTCACTGACTATTGGTCTTATAACTCTTATTCAGCTCCTAACAACATCATATGACTCTAGGATGCATCCTCTATCAACACTTGATTTTTCAATACCGGTTCTTTAAATCTCAGAAATGGCTTGATTTCATGTATTATAGCCTTCCAATTTGGCCTGTAGGGAACATTTTTGGACTTGGCAAGGTTATGCGCCAAGGTGCTTCCGGGGTTTCCCAAAGGGCCCCGGGAGGCCTGATTTGTGCCCGGAACTATCTCATTCATGTCTAGGCCCACCCCTTATTATTTTCATGTGGAAACTTGTAAATACTCCTATTGTGTGATTTTGGTCTCTACTGTTTATGACTTTGTGTAATCAACCTTTGCCTTATGAAAGAGCATATGATGAGCTGATTGTTGTCTCCTTGTTTTAATATTTGAATGCTAGGATAGAACTCTTCAATGGTAAAGGCGGTTTGGTAGAGGGCTCTATAGAGAGAGTTGATCGCACGGGAATTGATTTTGTGGCAATTAAGGATCAAGTAGTTGTACATCCTCATGAACCACAATGGGATGTATATGCTGCTTTCAGTAAGTTTTTAATTTCATCTGCGGACAGCTACGTGTAGTTTCTGGTCATGACAACTTTGTCCTGTGTTTTTGCAGGTACACTGAAGGGTGGTAGGGCTGACTGGCTTGTTGAGAAGTGCACAGTATGTCATGGATATCCACTTTTACATGATTGTATTTTAGTTAGGATATTCTTAGCTCTTGCACCTTTTAGCAGCTTTTGTCTTGTTTTGCTTTGTAATCGATGGACTCCTCTCCAGATTGAAACTATAGGTAGGCAGTTGGCCAGAAGGGTCAGGTGTTAGATCTATTTTATCTTTCATCTTTTTATTCCTTCTGAGATCGTCTGTTTCTATTCTTCTTCTTGTGTATTTTTTCCCTTTTCTTTTTCTTCTTTTTTCTTTTTTCTTTTTCTTTTTTTTTTTTTTTTTTTTTTGATGATTTTTTTCTTCTCAATTGTCAATCCAAAAAAAAAAAAGGGAACATCCAAGTGCAGACATGCAGTATTTTGCTGATGTATAATTGCCCATTGCTGATAATATTTTTACTAGACTATTTTGGTTTAGTTCTTAGAATTCATTATTTTCTATGTTTTTCACTATAGGAGCTGGGAGCCAGTAGTGTAACCCCACTTTTGACAGAACGTTCTCTTTCGATATCAGAAAATCGAGTTGACAGGTTGCAGAGAGTGATCGTAGCTGCAACAAAACAATGTAAGCTCCTATCATCCTGAAACCTTTGATGAAATTTGTATCTGGGGTATTAAAACCAGTATAATTCATGGTTCTTTTTGTTATTCCCTCCGCCCCTTTATGTACACTTTCCTTTTTGGATTGTCCCATTCTAATACTTCTCTTTAATAAATCTCTCTGTAACTCCTTTCAATTTTTTTATATACTAACCTGGGAAGAGAGTATGTTGGAGTCTTAGATTAGTGTTTGCTTTTAATTCTACATATAATACTTTTGAGTGATTTATCAGTTGTCACACGTTATTGCAGGTCAAAGATTGCATGAAATGATTCTAAATCCTCCAATTAAAGTTGGCAGCCTTTTACCTAATGTGAGTTGCTATTTGCTGAAGTTTTGTTATTACAACGAAATCCTGATTTGTTGAAGCATGCACTGTACCAGTAAGGCACTAAAGCCACTAAGGCTTGGTATATTCCTTTGACATACAATTTACAATTAATCATTCTTCAATTCCTTTGACATGCCTCAATATGTGTATTCCTGCACATTTTAATTTCTAATATCTGTAATAATCTGTTCTGCGTTGTTTGGCTATACGTTTACACTTCTATAATGTGGTTATCAGGGTGTAATGAGCTGGGTGGATCTGTGTTTAATATTGGACATTATTGGTGATTTCATTCATCAAGCTGTCCAACTGAGTGACATCCTTTTTCAGAGAGATAATGAGGCAAGGGGGTTGGGAAAAAAAAAACCTTTTTTTGTATCATAATCTGAGCATAAAAGGAGGGCTAGAGCCTACCTACCTTTATAATTTTTAAGCTTTGGAGGAAATTGACTGATCATATTGTTTGTTCTCCATAGAGCGGTCGGTGGCTGTATATACAACAATGACAATAGGTTTATCTAAAAGGAATTTTCAAGAGTGGTAGTAGGAACTAGGAAGAGTGGTAGTAGGAAGTTCAGTTGTTTGTTGGGTATCCCTTGACCCTATTTCCTTGTTCTTGATAGATTCCTATGAATATATAATTTGGTTCTGGTGCTTTGGAGTCCTTCGTTTGTCATTCTTTCTACATCAAAACCCTTTAGTTGCAGCCTTCACTTATTTTTGCTTGCATTGTGAAGGCCAAGATTTCGAAGGGTGTTGATGTGTTTGTTCGAGCAGCCAGTTCAGAGAAGTCCTACACTTGTGTGAAACCCCAAGTTTGAGGGCAATGTCTCTGGACTTGTTTAACAATCCTGGAAGTTAGGGATAGGTTTACAGACTCAAGGGTTTAAGACCAAATGTGACTTCTGTTAGGCCAAAGTTGAGTTCTGTTTTGAATCACAAGATTGGTTCTTCATATGTGGGTATTAAAAATACTAAATCATGACATGCATACCCCATGATCTTTTGATAGCCTCTGAGGAAATGGTGTTATTGTTAGTCAATGAATCAGTACAGTGCTTCTCTTCTGCTAATTTCTCTGCAGGCTGTATATTACAATATGAGCATGACAAATGGCAAACTGGCTATAGTGACTTACATAAAATATGTTTTCCCTTAGGTTGCACAATCAAAATTATCTTTTGTTGCTGCAGCAGAAGCTACTCCTCTGATCAGTACATTGACAATGACATCATCGACAAAAGAGTCTAGAGGTTCGCTTATAATTGGACCAGAAGGGGGTTAGTTCAAGTCTTTTCTCGAGCAGATTTTTATGGCACATTAATATATACTTGATATAAAATTTTACTCAGTGGTTCCTGTAGAAGATGTGATTAACTTCTATGTTTTCTGGATCTCCTTTAAGAAAGAATTGCTGATTTGCTATACCTTGCAAATTTTTTTGTTTATAGTTTATCAACGCCAAAGTGGATGATGTGAATGATGAATGTACCTCATAAAGAAATGTCCATGACTAGATTGAGAAATTTCTCTCTTTTTTTCTATGATTACAAGAACGACTTTGATGAACAATGCCATTAGTCCATTACTGTCCAGCATTCATAAATCTTAAGTTTTGATACTCTATAAGTTGTAACTGTGTCCTCATGAGCTATAGGGTTTTTATTTTTTTTGGGTTGGGTTGGGGTGGGGGTGGCGGCTAGGGGTAGGGTGTGGTTTCGTTTTTGACATACTGGTATGATCAGTTTCTGTCTTCCTGAAAATTTTGATATAAATTGACAAACTGGTGAAACTTATTGAAGGCTTTTGTGAGCTTATGTCTCATCTTAATGTTTGAATGTTTCAGACTTCACTGAGCAAGAATTGAAACTAATCACTGAAGCTGGTGCAACTGCAGTAGGGCTTGGACCACACCGCCTGCGAGTTGAAACTGCTACAATATCACTCCTCGCTACATTGATGCTGTGGTCTGATTCTCAGTAGCCATAAAGTTTATAATCGTAGTAAATTTACAACTCATCTTTTTTTACAGGGATTGAGACAAAAGAGTGAAATACGTAAACTGTTTTAGGAATGAACATTCTATATATCATATGAGCCACTTGCTTGAAAATTATAACTCTTATCAATGGCAAAAGCGTGATTCATTCAAACTTTATCTTATTTGCTCTGTACTAGCTTCAATTAGTTCAATGCTTTCAAATAATTAGTAATAACCAAAATTGAAATATTAATTTTGATAAATTTAATCATAATATGAAGTCTCTTTGTCCAAAGTTGTGTAACCAAATACATAAGAGGTACAATTTGCTGAATTTAACAGAATATAATAACGAGAAATAAACTGAAACTACTTGTTCTTGTCCAGCCATTCAAGGATACCTCTCTCTGATTCAGAAAGTTGTTCTTTATCCTTGGCTCTCAAAGTGCCCTCTACAAATCCAAAGTAGTCTTTGTAATTTCGCCTGTAGTAATCATCCATTCTCTACAGTGGTAAATAGTGACAAGAAAATTAATAATATAAAAATAATTAATCTTAATCATATTGAATATTAGGAGCTAGGTAACAGTGTTGTTAGAGCAATTCATCCAGCATTAATGTTAGAATTAAGAAATGTGTGGCTAAATTTAAGTTGATAAAACAACTTGTAAATTAAAAACTGAAATTGGTAGTGATACCGAGAGTACTCTAAACTTTGAGTTTTGACATGTTAAGCTTAAAAGTGTTACTGCAAAAGTGTAATTTTGTGCATGATCAATCTTAATTGAGATTAGCATCAATTATGAGATTTCATAAGGGAACCTAAATCAGTCTTACCTCTTTGTCATTCTTCGCTTTGTTTTCCTCTGACTTCTTCAAATACTCTGATTATACATACACCATCATTAAAGTAATCTAAGATTAATGATAATGAAGTGGGTTAAACATGGATATTTACTTTGAAGAAGGGCAGTCCGGCTGTCATTAGCATCAGTGGCTGCTACAGCTAATAAAGTAGCAGCAGTTGAGGATAAGAGAAGCCTTCTCCTTCCAGCGATATCAGAACCGGAGGCTATACTTCTGGCCGTGCTCGCGGTTGCTGCTGTTACAGACTTTGCACGATCAAGGAGTTCTTTCACATTATCTGGTACAAAACTGCAAGAATAACTTGCTAGAGCCATGATCTGTTTTCTGCAGTGCTATGTGCATGGAGCCCCAACCCTTTTCTGTGGCTACTAACACCTGTGGATGAAGTTGTGAATTTTGTGGTCTACATATCTTGCCACTCAAATATCTACTCTTATCTTTCTTTGATTGGATTCGTGCAATATACTAGATAACTTATTTTCTTGTAAGATTGTTTTCTAGTAGGCTTGGTCTCAATTTTAATCAAATTTTAGATAACTTGTCTAAAGGATGATTATTACATGTTTAAGGCCACAAGATTATCCATAACGTCGTAATTTGGGAAATAATGGACCAACATAAGGCAATAATATCGACTAGGTACCTTACTGAGAGGAAGGGAAAAATAATTAAATTAATGTCATGGCTGCAAGATCCAAAAAAAGAAACCAAGCATGTATGTAGTTCCATCAAGTCCAAAGATGTTTTGCATATAAATTTTTTTTGGTAAAAGAGAACTTTTCATGAGGATGGAGTGGGAAGTATATATGTAAAACTTGTATATAATAGCTGTGTAAATCAAAATCCGGTCTGAATATGTATTGAAATCCATCGACAAAATTACAACAGCTTATTTTGCTAATTTACATGGTTCAGTGCATCTAAGCAAAAAATTTACTTTCATATCAAACCTATACAAACCAATTACACCACATCATTCTTGCAATGGCCACTTGTGTGATCACTCTAGCAAACGCTTGTGCTTGCACCAGGCGACAGCAATAACATAAAGGGCTAAGCAACCTGTTGCTCCACCACCAACAGTCCAGAGAAATTCCGGATCTCCAGCTTTGTCTGGATCGAACAGCTCGATGTGGATATTCATCCCGAAGATACCAGCAACAACAATGAAAGCACTCACGACTAAAGTTGCAGTTGTGAGCATGACCCCCATTTGCAGAAGGTGATTCTGTTTGTCATCCAGCATTATATTAATGTAATCCTCTGTGTCATCCACGTACTCACGCAACTTCAAAAATCAAGGATAGAAAATTAGAGACGCAACAAAGACCTGATTTTTTTGCATGGAATTAAATTCACCAGAAAGTGTTCTGATCAAGTTAAATTTGCATGAAAACAAGAAGGTATGTTTTTTGTTTCCAAACTCCAAAGTTAAACTAGGTAGCTAATGTTTCATACAGTTTCCTGCTAGTTAATCATGTTCAAGCATAATTTTTGAAGAGATCGTGCTCAACACGCTAGCATAAAGTCAATTTGAAAGTGCACTAGAAACAGAAAACAGGGAAAACTTGAGATCAGAGGTATGTTACAAACCGTAGTGAGTTTATTAAGTGTGCCATCGATCTGAACAAAGTATGCCTCCAAAAGCATTTCAAGCTCCTCCACATCAAGGTGCTTGCTTATGGCACTGTGTGTTGTGCTAGTACGTGTCCCACTTCTGGCTAGTCGCGCAGGCACTCCAAAATATTGGTCTTGTGGGTTGGCATCACTTTCATATCTGCCTGAACCCCCATTAACTTCCGATATTTCAGCAGGCATCCTAGTATACAGAGAAGCTAAACACTTAGGGACTTGAATTGAAACAGTCAGAATGAGATCCATCTATGATTTAGATAACGAAACAAAAATACATTAATCTTTCAGAGCCCCTTTTGCCAGTTACCTTTCTTCCATTTCAGCTTGGACTCCATCACTAACATAATCATGCTCATTAACAGAAGAAACGGAGGAATCATCAAGGTTTTGCTCGGCTAGCTTCTCAGTTAGGTACATTTCAGCCATATCATCATCATCATCTAGCAGGTGCTCAAGTTCATCTCTCACCTGGGGACTTGGAGCATGTTTATTAGTATTTGAAACAACCAAAATTACATTTCATATATAAAGCATTATGTGACGTCAGTAACTGTATCCATTGAACTAAAACAATTTCAAAATCACATAGTCCCATATATTGGCTAGAAAGTTAGATGGGTATGTAACTGACCTCTGGCCATAAAATGCAAGTCAAAAAAAAAACCCTGTAACCAGGAAAAAGATCCCTAACATAAGACTTAAACTTAGCAGACGCTAGCTGAAACCAGCTGGTTATCATTCTTTTCCTTCTTTGGTTCATAGGGGAGAAAAACGTCACTAACGAAATTACAACATGACCTCCAGTATCCTCCCCTCAATCCCCCCATCACCCTGAAAAAAAAAATAGGCAAAGAAGAAATCTAATGGGAGGACAGGAAAATAAAGAAACCAGAAGTGGTGAGTCAGGGTTATCTTTGAATGGATAACTCTACTTCCAGAATGACACAAGTAAATGTTTGATCCAATGGCTAATTAAATGAAAAAATACTACTTCCCAATCTGCATGTATCCAAACCCCATCTCCTGCTTCTCTGTTTCTTCCCCCCACTCCCTTCTATACCAACACAAATCTTGCCCTCCCTTTCTCCCTCTGTCCTTGCTGCATCACCTGAAAGATTTTCAGGTTATAGCCAAAGATTACACAATTCCAGTCCTCCATTATTACAGTCGGGAAGCCCCTAGTACACCACATGCCGAGGCACATAAACAGTAGCAACAAGGTGACCAGAGAGTCAGACCCACAAGGATAGAAATGCTAAAAATCTCATGGACAAGTTTAATATCGACAAACCAAAAGCACATACAACTATACAAGTCACCAAACCCATGAATATACCAAACATTGAAACTTGAAAGTCACTCAATTAACCAAAGCCTATTAATAAAGGCTATTATAGCACACAATTATGGGTGCAACTCTCAACATATGAAAACCCACACAAGGAGTACCACATGATTGCCTCCGAAACCTAACAGATGTCAAACCTTAGGTTCCCTGGGGCATCATAAAACCACTAGCATATCCATGCCAAATCTTGAAGAATCACGCCATAGAAAAGATGTGCTCCACAGTCAAGGGAATAGGCGTAGCTGTTTGCATAGACACAAGGCCAAGGCATAGGCGCTGCTGCTCAAGGTATAAGGACTAGGCATAAGTGTTGCGAGGGTAAGATGCCAAGGAAAAAGGCATAAAAACTCCTCATTCTAAAACAAACACCTATACATGGTATTATGGCCATAAAGGGTAGCGTCTTTGCTGATCTAAGGGGCAATTTCAGAGAGCATGGGCATGAGCCAAGCCAGGGCAAGGTATGGCCAAGGTATGTGGTTTAAGACATGATTATGAGGGGTACAACTGTACAAGATCATGAGACAAGGCATGAATTAATTATTTTCGACCACCAAATAGGTCTCCTAGTCTCTCATGAGGAACATGGGAAACACATCGATTCCTAAGATTGCAGGGTTCGAAAATAATCTTTGGAGGCTAAATTGAAAACTATAATACACAAGATCAAATCATTTTCGGAGATTTCGGGATCCAGTGTCAAAAACTCAATACGAGGGATATTTGGCACCATGTACGCCCACTAGTGAGAGCCACATAAAGGCCTAAGATGGAATTTGGTAACAAGCAAAATTGATGGCACAACCTTCCAAAGTGGCCTCCCAAATTATCATGAGATACAAGGAAAGCTCCTCATCCTCTATCTAGAAAAGTAGAAAATTCCCTAAAATTGAAGGCTATAATACACGATTACCAATTGACTTTGGGAAATTTATTAAAAAATTGTAGAAGAATTGGAGGTGGCTCCCAGGGCCATAAAAGTTAGTTTGGAACCATGATAGCCAACTTCTAAGACTCTCAAGTATCAAGAACGAGTTCGATCCACTAATATGGCTATTTCATAAATCTCTTGTAATGTTAGTCAAGAGCAACAAGAGATGGATCCAACCACACAAGTGGCCTCCCGGGATATCATAAAAATTATGAGAAGCACCTCATCCTCTTTCATTTTTACGTCCGAAAAAGCTTTTCTCTATAATTAAAGGGTATAATACATGATTTTGGAAAATTCTCCAAAATTAAAGTTGATGCATGTGATGAGGAGAAAGATAGAGAGAAATGACAACCTAAAAAGGAAAGAAAACATTTGTTGCAAATAATGTGTAGCATCCATTTTGGCAAAAGTTGCAAATGATATGGAACGGAGGTAATAACTATTTTATAAGGAATTGTATTGTTAGTAAATCACAGTTTCTTCTGGACTTGGAACGGAAAAATGTACAAACTTACTCACAAACAGGTACAGGGGAAACAACCAGGTAAATCACAGTACCTTCTGGACACGCCCAGTTAAAGCCACTAGGCGACTCTTAATTTGCCTAACACGTTCCAAGTTCAGGGTGCTGATTTTTGATGTTAGCTTATCCAAGGCTGGATGAGCTTCTTGCTCCAATGTCCTCGCCTGATAGAAAAACAACCAAAACCCACAAACCAAAATGAAGTAAAAAAAAATGAAAAAATAAAAAATAATAATAAAGAAAGAAATCAATGACAAACTAGTATCAACAAAAATTTCACTCAATCAATCAATCATAGCCTTAATCCCATAAGTAGGGTCGGCTACATGAACCAAAAGTGATTATTCCGTGTAGTCATCGACAAAAATCTTCCTCCTCCATCCCTTACAATCTAATGCCTCATCCTCATAAAAATCAACAAAAATTTCACTCTTAAACATAAAATAGGTGGGTATACCTCATTATCTAAGGAACTACAAGCTGCTTCAAGGCAAGCCTCCAGTGCTATAAATTCAAACGGAAGGACCTTCACTCCATCTCTGTTCTTCAAATCTTCCTTTTCCTCCAAGCTATTCTTATCATCACTCACCCCTTGACGTGGAGGGAAGCCGCAAAGATCATCTGGAGGGCTAACATCAGTGCTTGGGGGCTCCTCAAGGTCATATAGATTTCGCCACTCAGAATTATCTGCCCCACCTCCAGCATCCTTCATAGCCAATACATGATGAAGAATTAGAAGGTATAACATAATAACTAGCATAGAGAAACAAAGTAACAAACCTAAGTGTTTAGTATCTTTTTCTAACTCCAAAGAAATAACTAGACGACACACAAATATGAGCTGAGATTTACAGACTAGTAGTTGATAAGCAACAAATGATACAGTTAACAATTCACATGGAACATCAGAAAAGCTAAATGACAGAATTCAAGAGAATTTCTTTGAACAAATCTTAAAGGAGGTATCAGCAAATCTATAGTCAGCAATGCCCCTTTTATGATTTCAATACAATCCAAAGTCTATTACTCTTGATGTTTTAGACAAAGAACTCTAACAACAACCAGTGATGGAATCAAGGATGGCAAAGTCAGGGCCATGGCTCCAGCCATGATTCTCTTCATACATTAGAGGTGTAAGGCAACATTAAAAACTACCAGGATTGGTTTAGCTGCTGTATAACTTAGTATGCATCATATCACATGTTCAAACCTTAGATCACTTGCATTTGTTTGCTTTTTCACCCATGGGCTGTGGGATTTCTTCTCTTGGATTCGTATACATGTAATTTGTCTTAGTTAGGTTCTGTTGACATACACACTTGTGATTCCCTTGTCTATTGTAGTCCTGTTTTCAGATTTCTTTTAATTTTACTTTATTTAGTAAAGAACTTTTCAAATGTTCTTCCACTACAGCCCTACAACTCTACAAGAGGGTTTGGTTTAACCGTTTAAGCGGAGAGAAATTACAAAAATAAGAAAGGTTACAAGTAAAGAAAATTAACAAAACCTCTCAATTCTCCGTATTGTTTGATTAGAGCAGGGGAAGTCCGAGGGAGTTAAACTTTTGCCTGTATTCGCCTATTTGGCAAGTGAACATAACCAACCTAATATAAACCCCATTCTCACATTGCTCTTGAATCTCCACCACCACAACCATCTTCAATATTCTCCTTAACTCATATAACAAAGGAGGATTACTACTGAAGTAACAATTTTGAAATCAAATTCCCATGTCAGACCTCAACCACGCTCAATGGCAAGCATTCAGCATCAAAATTCTGCACACAGCACAAACAATCTAAACCAAGACTATGGCCTGATGGCACATAGCAAGAAATTGGCAGACTAGACATACACCATTCCTCACCACCAACTTAAATTTTTCAGGAATTCTTAGATTGAGCACAAAAGCCCAAAATTACACTTATCTACACATTTGAGTAGGGCAGCGTACTCTGATCCCACTAATTGACACTCCAATACTTGATTAGCCTAAAGGGGAGTGAAATTCAACATATCCCATGACCCATGACTAAATAGAGAACTAAGTCGTTACCACAACGCTTCATATTTCACTTGTTCAACTCAGTATGCCTCTTTGCTACCATAAAGCTTATGCCGAGCTACTGAGATTCAAGTATAATACCCTAATTTTCTCTTAAACTCAATCTCAATCTACCAAGCTTTAATTTTTCTGATTGTAGGAAAACTATATGCCCATATAATACTTAATCATATCACAAATAAATTCATCATTACCATAAATATAGATAAAAATACTTAAATTCACCATCAATTCCAACACCAAATTGAAACAAATAGCAACACAAAACTGATAATCAATCATCAAAAACACACACCCAAAACTCAAACCCCACATCTCAACTAGAATCAAAAGCAATCAATCATTAAAAAGAGGGCAACCTGAATTTTGGTAGCTTGATGCAGACGCACTAATCTTCTTTGAAGCTCCTCAACAAAAGGGGTGACAGAAGGATCTTTAGAATTGAGCAAAAGAACTTCTTGGGCAGTAATAATTGCTTTAATATGCTCCAAATTTATCACAATCGCTCTCTCTCTTCCAAGAACAGTTGATGGGTATGAAAGAAGGGGGTCCAATATCCTCAAGTCTCGGGCCGGGAGGCCCGTTCGTCGCATGATAGAGTGCTTCCCTGCTTCAACCACTTGGGCCTGACCTACTGAGTCAATCACTAGCCAGGCTCGAACCCCGGTCCCCTTTTTCCGGTGCCCGCCGATCAAACCCGGCACCAATCCAGGACGGGCTATCTCGGGCTCGTCGTCGGGCCTCATTGTTTTTTGTATTGTTTAAAATTGGGTTTTCTCTCTTTCCTGGTTTTGGTGGCGCTGTGTTTACATGCCTGGTGGAGTTGGTTTGTTTTGATTCTTTCGATTAGTCAGCACTCAGCAGTGAAGAATGAAGATTAAAGAAAGGAGCAAGTTTCCTTTTTCTTGGAATTTTCTAATGAAATGATAAAATTAGTACGGAGTAGTATTAATCAAAATGGTTAATTTACAAAATTCCTTTGTATTTTTCTTTTACTTTTTTAAAATTTGTTGATTCTTTTACAGAGTGATATATGATTTGCATCAAATTTCATATACAATGGTAGTTAATATAGTAAAAAATCTTGATGTTTTAATCGTTAATCATGGAGTCTAATTAAACGGAATCCAAGGGATTTATGTTAAATTATAGATTAATATTGAGTAAAAATCGAAGATAAGTGGAATGTAGGAACAAAAAATTGATACATTTATGAGATGATTCTAAATGTATTACTATATGTGAGAAATGTACGAGTTATTAACTATCGGAAGGTTTTGAACTTTGAGTATGTTTTCAATAATCTGAGTCCTTTAAACCATATGATTAGGGGGAAAAAAGGTCTCTTTCTCGATTATCATAAAATTATGTGATAATCTAACCAACATATATGGCACAGTTGTGATTTAACTATGCTACTACAAATTTAACTTTATCATTAACCTTATATTTAATCAATTAAATTTATTAGCGCTAAATATCAAGATTAGCGTAACAAATTACTCCGCAACAAATAATAATTAATGAGACTCATGTAACACATGTTGTCCCATAAATATACGGAGTACATGATGAATTAATCTAATCATTGGTCCCAAAATTTCTTAAGAAAACAAAATAAATAAATAAAAGTCATGTAATCATAAAGACATCATCATTCATCCTTTTATCAATAAATCAATATTTTACTCCTTTTTAAAGCTGGCAAAATCTGACACGACATGAATTGGGCATGGAAAAAATGGGTTAGTAAACACGACACGTTTAATTAAACAGGTTGGATTAGTGTTAAGATTTCCAACACTAAAAACACAACTCGGCCTGTCTAATATAAACAAGGCTAATATGGGTCAATACAACACAATACGTTTATTAAATGAATCGGATTAGTGTTGAGAATCCCTAATCCGTTTAATTTCGAACACAAACACGACACGACTGTCAGCGTCCACTCCTTATATAATAGGCTAAAAGCTACGGAGTACTTGTACTACAGTGAGGAGTTGACAATTTGAAACAAAAAACTATGACCACATCCAAACAATTGATACACTTCTTCATCTTACTCTTCCTTGCCGTCGCCTTCTCGCCGGTGCCGTCGTACTCCGGCGAGACCGTCGATTATCTCCCTGGATTTTCCGGCAAGCTTCCTTTCAATCTCCAAACTGGGTAACACTATTTCTAAACTTTATATATCTTCAAATTGCATTTTAATTCAGCTTTCTGCTACTAAAGAAGATTGTAAATTGTGAAAAAATAGATACATAAAAGTGGGAGATTCAGAAATGTTCTACTACTTTGTTGAATCAGAAGGAAACCCAAAGAAAGACCCTTTACTTCTTTGGCTTACTGGAGGTCCTGGTTGTTCTTCTTGGAATAGTCTTGTTTATGAAATTGGTAATATTTATCATCTTTTCTCATGATTATCTCTCTCCTTTTTTTGGTAGAGCAAATCATATTTTGTAATTTAAATTAGTACTACGACAACTAAATTGAGACAGAGGTAGTAAATGAATCGTTGCTTAATTAGTTAGTGGTTTTCTCTGTGTTTGGCATAATTTTCTTGATCATCTCATAGTTATTTGGTTAAAAATTTATGGCATTAAAATCTACCATATCAAGAAATTTTAATGGGCCACATTTCGAGAAAAATGACCTGAAATGTAAAGTGGAAGAGGAAGTTCCACGTATGTTTGTCAATAGTAGTGGACCTATCTTGCATGTTTTGCTTGAGAGAGAAATTCATTAATTTGCAATCGAGAAAATACAAATTGATCTTTGAGATAAACCATTTACCTGACATTTCGTAAATAAATCAAGAACTTTTTCTTACTGATTTATTTATCAAAATGCCATTGTGATAAACAAATCACAGGGATTAACCTCGGCTTGAAATCTATAAGTAATTAATTGATTTACTTATTAATTTATTTTGTGAAAAGCCCTTTTCTATTTTTATACTATTTACTTCACAATTGAGAGCCATGTACTCATGTTACACAATTGATGGAGCTTATTTTGATCTTATTAAATTTTGTTCTTTTTCACATATATTCGTCTCTCTTAATTTACTGACTCTTACGTGAAAAAACGAAAAACTTCATCCGTAATTTTTTTTGTTCTACTCACTTAGCGTTTTGAGCTGTCAGCCCTGCATATGTATGATTGTTGAAGTTTGTGTGATACTTTGTAGGTAGGTGATGACATTTGAGGTTTATGTTCAATGCATCATAAGTTAGTCAATGCTTTGATCTTCTTGCAAGAGCTGCTATTATATGGCTAAGTCACTAGACAATTGATCTACTTATGTTGATTATTCTTAATATTGATAGTAGTACCATGTTAGACATTATATATGATAATATGAACACCACTTTGTAGTTGTCATAGTAGTATATGGATTGTTTGTCATTAGTCTGTAATCTAAGTTCGTTTTTGCATGTACACAATTTGGCAGGGCCACTAGAATTTGACCTTGATGCATCTTTAGAAGGCGGTCTTCCTCAGTTGAGATCTTATGAACATTCTTGGACCAAGGTAAGGAGGATATAGGAAAACAGATAACTTAATAATCTTTTCTGAAAAAAAACTGAAACGGGAATTTGTGCTGTATATGCAGAGTGCTAGCATAATATTTCTAGATTCACCTGTTGGAACAGGCTTTTCCTACTCAACAACTCAAGAGGGATGGCCGAGCTCAGACACAAAAGCAGCAGATGAAGCTTATCAATTTTTGATGCAGGTGGACTTGTAGACATGATTTTCTTGCTAGATTATCTGTGATTATGATCCTATACAGTCGCAGCTAGAAAATACTGATAAAATTTTATAGTATTAAACCGAGATAATGCTAGTAGATTTAAGTTGGTAAACATGACTCAAACGAAGAACGCTTAATCTTCTGAACTCCTGATGCAGTGGGTTGTAGAAAATCCTCAATATCTTGATGTTCCATTCTTTGTGGGTGGTGATGGATACTCTGGAATTATTGTTCCACTGATCATACAATTAGTAATAAAAGGTACTTTAATAAACTTAGTTCTTTATTACTCGTTATTGCTTAAATAGCTAAATCGCTTTTTCATCATCTATTATCTGAAATTTGTAAGGCAAACTAAAATACTTCTGACAGGTAATGAAGCTGGAGTGCAGCCACACTTAAACCTTAAGGTGATATTATCAGAGAATCATATGGATACTTGCTTCTAATGAAATAATTCAAGCAATAGTAGGTATAACCTCTGATTTCTTTTGATATTGCAGGGATATTTAGTGGGAAGCCCGAATACAGATGAATTCATTGATGCAAATTCAAAAGTAGAGTTCGCTCATAGGATGGCACTCATATCAGATATTACTTTTAATGTAAATGTCTTTAACATTAAATGGTTATTAGTTGTGATCATTCTAGATCTTAGCTTGTTGCACTCCCCTTTTGTGAGACATATGCTTCATTCTTTTCACTTGAAAAGCCCTTGTCTGAACTTAACAGCCCATATTATCTGAATTTATAGACCAAACTTCTTGTTAAAATAAGGCTATTTTTATCAAGGTGAAAAGAACAAAGCTATGGTGGGAGTATGAACAGGCAAAGCTAGAGTGGCTCTTTGTTTTGAATAAAGGGAGAAAAACGGTGAATATTCATTACTGTCACAGTTTGTAATTAAGTTCTTTCTGTCCTTCACTATGCAGAATGCCAAGAAGTACTGCAAAAAGAACTATGTAGATGTGGATCCAGATAACACACAATGTGTCCTTGCTCTTGATGATTATGAGAGGGTTTGTAAAATTTCATTAGCTAAGAATAATTTTGATTACGAATGCTTTTAAAGGAGCTTTGAAGTCAAAAAAATCTAGGTTGTGAAAAAATCGTTCTTTCCACAGTGTGTCAGGGGCATATGGCCAAATCAGATTCTAGAGCCAAAATGTACACTTGGTAGCCCACTTGATGATAGGTGGACTAGAAGATCTCTTCAGGAGGATCCCAATGAATTCATTCTTTCGGTCCCTCAAGCTTCAAATCTTTGGTGCCGGGTATTTTCCTTGCTAATCCCTCTTTTAGCATTTATTAATTCTTTCAATCGTTCAATCTTTCTTTTGCTGATTTCTAGATGCCTAATCGTGTTGCAGGATTTCAATTATACTCTGTCAGATACCTGGGCAAACGATGAAGCAGTCCAGGATGCCTTGCACATCCGCAAGGTATCATGTTTCTTTAATTTTGTGGCTGGAAATAAATCATTATAGAGCAAGCTGACTTTTTAGGCTATACACTACAGTAATAGTTTATATCAAGAATTAAGATTTTAATGTTTTATTCTGCATAAGCTCAATAACATGTTTCATGAAAATACATTTTCTAACATGCAACTATTATGCAAGTAGGGAATGGTAAGCCAATGGAGTAGGTGTAACCAGACAATATCATACACGAAAAATATACAGAGTGTTATTCAAGTTCATCAAAACCTCACCAACTATAACCTTAGGTTACTAGTATACAGGTAATCATATCTTAGGTTGCTCATTTTCTTTCTTGAATCTTGAGTTTCCTTTGGCATGAATGATTTTGCTTACTAGTTGTCCATTTTTTGCATTAACTAGTGGTGACCGAGACATGGTTGTTACATTTGTTGGAGTCGTGGAATGGATAAAATCCATCAAAAATTCCGCCAATCTAACTCTTTCAGACAAATGGCGTCCATGGTTTGTTGATGCTCAAGTTGGAGGGTAAATAATCTGAGCTTTACTGAGCTTTAGTTTTCTACCTTGGTGTGAAAAAACTTCAATAAATTTACCAAGTTTTTATTAAATGTTGAAATGTGATAGGTATACAAGGAAATATGAAAAGAACTCAGCTTATTATCTGACATATGCAACCGTGAAGGTAAATTATACACATTGCTTGTGACATCTCAGCATGTAAATGATCATATTGGATTCATAACAGTT